GGGACAACAGGGCAGACCCTACAGTGAGAGACTGCGGGACCTGAACCTATTCAGCCTCCACAAGAGAAGGCTGAGGGGGGACCTGGTGACCGTCTATAGACTCACTAGGGGGGACCAGAAGGGTTTGGGGGAGACGCTGTTTCCCCTGGCGCCCGCTGGCATAACAAGGAGTAATGGGCACAAGTTGATGGAGAGGAGGTATAGATTGGACATCCGCAAGAACTACTTCACAGTTAGGGCAGCTAGGAGCTGGAACCAACTTCCAAGGGAAGTGGTGCTGGCCCCTACCCTGGGGGGTTTTAAGAAGAGGCTGGATGCCTACCTGGCTGGACTCATTTGAGTCCTGTTTCTTGTTTTGGGGTTTTATTGTTCTCCCGCCCTGGCGGGGGGTCGGGCTAGAAGATCTATTAGGTCCCTTCCGACCCTAAATCTATGAAACTATCTATGAAACTATGAGACAGGGAGCGAAGAGATGAAGGATGGTAGCCAGTGAAGATGGGGAGCATGGGAGTAACTGGAGACTGAGGATAGATAGGAGATCTACTAGAGGAGAAACCAAAAGAACAAGAGGAGCAAGTAGAAAGCAGCTGGGGACCCAGTGCTGGTGGTGGACTATAAACATCTGAACATGGATATAAGCTGGGATAAGATTCTTGAGAAGTGTAGACTGAGGCTGGCTTGGTGGGGGGAACAAGACTGAAATGGGGAGACCAGGTCCACCACAACACACTCCCACAATGGACCCCAATATTCCTGAGTCTCACTATTCCTCTGCTGGCAGCAGATATCACTGAAAGCCTCTGGCAAAGTATCTCACCCCTTTCTAGGACCAGTCCTGGTAGAGGATGACAGTCTGCTGCTGCTCTCAATGAGTCCATTAGCACAAGTAGCAGAAATCTATGAGAGGGACCTAAAGGTTCTGACCTGCTGATGGCCCTCAGAGGTCCTGCATGACAGAAATTTTGGTAGTATTTTTTCAGTTTATTACAAAAACCTAGACAATCACAGGCATGTACACAGGCACACACAGTAATATGACCACAAAGTCTTCAAAAGCAAGCATTCCACAGTGGGGAAATTCCAGCATTAAAATTGCCTGTTCACCTTAATTCACCCTTCTTGCACGCTTGGATCTGGCAGCCTTTAATTATATAATCACATGCTATTTTTTTCCTCAAAGGCACCTGCCTCATTCAGTGTACACCATGGATCTGCTCAGGATATGAATTGGGGTGTGCAGAAAAGGCAACTGTTGCCTAGAGAGAGTCAATTCTCCATGTGTTGCAGACGCTGGAAGGAGAACAGTGAATGAGTTAAAGGATCACAGGAAAAACAAAGAGAGTCTCCTGGTTAATGCAGTGGAATGCTGCCTTCGAGCACTGGATTCTATCCCTCTCACCATCGCAGAATTCCTGTGTGATCCTGGGCCAGTCATTTAAATCAAATTTTCCACACGGTTATTAACTGTGTGATCCTCAATTTCTCCCTGACTTGAGTCTTTGGGGTCTGATTTACTTGCAGAACTGCTGTGTGCACGCAGCTGCAATGAAAATGAAAGGAAGCTGGGTTTTGAATTTACTCCATGCTGCAGAGTGCTACTAAGACAGGAAAAAGAATCAGCTTAAGGTGGCTTTGCATTCACAGTTATTTGAAAAGCGTGCAAGCCTTTCTGCACTGCTACATGAAGGGGAGGAGAACAGCAGCCAAACAGCAGGAATATGATGAAAAGAATGAGGCGATGGGGAAATAAGAACTTGTGCTTGGCAAGATAAAGGCTTGGCCTTCTCCCTTTTGTCTTCCTGGGTAAATCAGGCTGCTCAACTAGCTCTAGCATCAACCCTCACCCTGCTATTTAAATAGAGCTATTTAAAAAGGATTTTCAAGCCTCCTGCTCCTGTTGCATTTCCTGCCCTCCTCTCCATAGCTGGAGGGGAGGGGCTGTGTTTTCATGATTCTCTGGGTCCAAACAATTACTTCTCTGGGGATCAGGCATTTTCCCCTTTAGGCCAAACAGTTAAGATGGAGGGAGTGGTTTCCACTCATCATGATGCCATGGAGACACAATCAGGGTGAAAGCCACAGGATTGGGAAGCTTCATATTAGGAAAGGTAAGACTCCTCAGTTTGATGCAATTCTCAGGCAGCACCCTGCCTAGGTAAAGCCTGCATAGTCTGCCAGGTAGTCACATGAAGGCAAGCTCAGTCTCAGGCCTGGGCTGAGGAGAATTTGTCCTGCACTACTGGTCTAATGAATTAGAGCCTTATAACTCCACACCAGAACTAGTTCTATGGTTGGTATGTGACAGAGTTGGGTAGGGACTCAAATCTATCCCTGCACCTTTCATTCATTTGCCTGCATGGCCCAGTCAAGAAGGCATATAGTATCCAAAAGCTTAATAACCATCTTTCCAGCTAATCACACAGCATTATTCCTAGTGGTGTCTAACTCAGTCACTATAATCCCATCCTTTAAAGAAATAAAACAACGAGCAAACCAAACGTTGCATAGAAGCCTACAAAGACAGCATCATCCACTCTGTGCACCAAATGAGGCAGGCATCCTATGGAAAAAACAGTCTGTGACTGGGATGTCTTACTGTGATGTAACATGCAGCCTTAAATTTGACAACTCTTTAACTTCTGAGTGCAAGAGTTACCTAAAAATTCCAGTAACTCAGGGCTCGTGGCAAGATCCACCTCTTTAGCAATGAATTTCATGATGTCGTTGAATGCTGTTCTTCGTTCTCGGATATCCAGTTCTCCAACAAACAGAACTTTTCTCGGTAACTGTGGCAGAGAAATGTGTGGATAGTGTGCAGCCAGCTTTTGGTAAAACTCCTCAATCTCGCTGTACTTCTTAGAGACCTGTAATGAAACGAGCAGGTTGGATTAGTCTGGAGCAAGAGCAAAGGATAGAGAGCAAATTCACAGCACAGGAGGGAGGGTTATCCCAGAGGCATTTACCCCAGAAATCAGTGCATAGCATACAATACCAAAAAGCTTTACAGTTGTTCTTCTGTCAGGTCAGCGTCTTTCCAGTTGATCACACACAGCGTAACTGCTAATGATGTCCCTAACTCAAAGGTGTCAAACATCCAGTCTGCAGAGTTGCTCTATCTGCTCTGCTGGGCTATCAGTGGGGCAGGAGAAGTTGGAGGGCATGGCCAGCCATGGAATTCAGGACCTTTGGAGCCATGGTTAACTGTTAAATTTATAAACTTTACAAGATAATCCCAGAGATTTCAAAGAAGAATCCATTATGTTAAAACCATTCTACCCCGTTGAAGGTCTTTGAGTTCCTTGCAACAGAAGAAGTTCTCTATTATTTTTTTATAGTATGAAAAATTAGTAAAAACTAAGAGCTGGCATTTACTGAGAGGTGTCTCAAGTCCCTCAAGGGGTGCCTCAAGCAACACCTTGCCAAGGGTATTTAAATGCAACCAGTTCACTGGAGCTAGAGGGAGACACAAACAGGTGTGAGGAAGGTACTGCCCAGACAGCAAGGATAGTCCAGACAGACAGCAAGTACCTACAAATCCATGCTTGGCTCTTATGTGGAACTTGGCATCCATGCATTTCAAAGCACATTGCACAGGAAGTTCAAAATCAGCTCTCACATTGGGAAACATGCAGAGAGGTTTCCCAACACCACACAGTGTAGCAATACATGCCCCCCCCAAGTTTTTCTCTTTTTTTTTAACTTAAAAATGCATTCCCTCCCCTTCCACAACCATTTCTGACTTACTCTCTGCCCTTTCTATCCCTTATAAGTGATTACAAGTAGCACTAGGTAAGCTAAGTTCTTACACTCCCTTATAGTAACAAGCCCCTTTTATATTGTGAAGAGTGTTCTATTATGTTTGTATTGATTTTTACTGTTTTATACTGTATTATACTATGTTTTGTATTGATTTTTACTGTTTTATATTGAATTTATATGATTTAGGCCTATGTCTGTAAAGTAATGTCAAGTAATGTCAAGTTTCCATTTTGAATGTCAAGCCTCCATCTTGTATCCTCTGCCTGGGTATAACCTATGTTGTAACTGTGACTCATGTCTAACCAGTTTCATGTAAACTGGTTCCTGAATGAATGAAGGTGCTTGAGGTACACTGGTAGCAGGCCTCTACTGAATGATCAACTCAACAACCGGACGATTGCCTTGCATTAACTCACCCAGGAACCACAGACCTCACCCAGGAACAGAACAGAAACGCAGCATTGGAAATACAAACACCCTACAGACACCAGCAACCCCACCATTGTGTCCTACCACACAATGAGGATACCTGGATCTGCACGTAGGCATCTGAGCAGGACTGTCCTTGCCTGGACATGTCTCTCCCATAGGAGACACAGGTAGCTCACCCCTATAAAAGGGGTGGTAGAGCATGACCTCCTTGGGATGCCCTCTCCATCTGGACCAGCACCACACCACAACACCTATCCACCAAGAGGCCCTGCTGGCAACTCCCCCTCTGAGCAACAGCTTGCTAAAGAAGACCCTGACTGGCCATCAAGGATCAACTCTCAGGCTGGGATAGGTAGCTATCACCCACCTTCTTCCCCCAAGCAAAGGACCTGAACTCTGTCTCTACATACCTGGACCTCAAATCCCTCCATTAAGCCTTTGCTCTCCTGCTACCATTGTGTGGGTGTGTGCGTGTGTCAGTGTTTGTGTGTGCATGTGGGAACCAATAACCTTGTGGGGCTGTGTAGTGTGTTTCCTGTTTAATAAAACTGTTAGTTTGGCACCCTGAGTTGGGTTTTGTCTTACTGACCTCCGGGCCCTGTTCCAATCTCTGCTCTCTGCCCCTCTGACCTTTGGTCTGTCTGTCTTGTCTGTTTGTCACCTCGGCTCCCTTTCTGCCACCTCCAAAACCCCGGCTTTTTCCCCTCACTTCCACCCCAGCACCAAGTGACTCTGAGTCCAAGTTACCTCAAAGGCCCCCTAGTGTTAACACACAGCCATGGAAGTGCATGCTTGTGTGTGTGCATGTGTGTCTGAACCCACAGAGTGCTTGTGTGTGTGTATATAATTTTGTATCACGCCCTCCTGTCTAACAGCACAATATTGAGATCCCGAGTGTTGATCTGGCATGTGTCAAGTCAACAACAGCACACTAGCAGGAGAACTGGAGCCAGAACTCAGCTCTCCTGACTGACAGATCAGACCATGAGCTAGACAATCCATTTCTTGCCTGTTTGGGTCCTGTCACCATGTGAACCACATCAAAGATGGGATGATGGCATGGAGACCCCTTTCATTTCCTCCAGGCTGCAGCTGAGGCACATGGGTGAAGGATGCCTGTTTCAGCCTATGTTATACCTACTGCGCAGCTAAATTCAGGACTTCATTTTCTAGGGCACCTTTAACTAGCACAGATTTAGGCAGAGAAAAAGCATTCTGATTGCTGAGTCTCCCTTCACCTCCTTCTGTTCACCTCTGAGTTGCATGGTCCCACCGGCCCTGCTCCCACCCCTGGTCTAGGGACAGAAGTTACACATAAACTGGTTTAAGTCTTAAGAAACTGGTTTAAACCTGTAACAGAACAGAGGTTCAGTGCATATAAACCAATTTCAAAATGGCCGAAACTAGGTTAAGATAAACCTGTTTGAACGTAGTATCAGACTTAACTGATTTAAGTCAAGCTGATTTATGAAACTTCTGTCCCAGACTCCTTCCTGGTTCAAGTTAAATCAAAGTCCCCCAGCATCCCAGAATGCTTTGCAGCCCTGGGCTGGGTTGGGCTGTCTGCTTGAGCAGAGAAGGTTGTCCCCACCCCTCTGCCTCTAACTGGAGCAGTGAGGGCTGGCTGACAAAGGGGTAGAGGTCGGAAACCTGGCTGGGGACAGTCCAGTCTGCCTGGGGGCGCGGAGCAGGCCCTGCCAGGCTTTTCCCTGCTGGAGTGGAGGGGGCAGGGGCATGGGACAGCAGGCTCAGGCACAGGGGAATTAAACTCTGCTGCCTCCCCTCTCCCACTGGGGTCTGCCTAGATTTTCCCCCTGCTCGTGGCTCATCATGGCCTGGGACCCCCAGAGCTCCTCTCCCAGCCAGGAGCAATTCTGCTGCATTTTCCCAGCTGCTGTGGCGAAGGTTTTGCCTGGGGCAGTCCACGAACAATGGCCAGATCAGGGGAAGGGAGGGGAGCGAAACCGGCCCTAAGCCCAGGTGGGGACATGCACAGAGAAGAGCACAGAGGGATCGCAGCAGCAGTGGCTCCATCCTGGATGTCATCCCCACCTACCAGAAGGTCCCAGGCTGAGTGGATCAGAAAGGGGCTTCAGTGTATATCTGCGCTAGCCCAAGGCAGAGCCAAGCCAAGCCAAGCATGCAGCTGGGGGAGCAGCTCCTGCCCGGTGGCCCCTTCTACCTGCTGGAGACTGGTGTCTGGGCTGGCCCTGACCCTAGCCCCTGCAGTAGCACACATAGTGCAGGCTTGATCTAGCAGCACCAGGAGGCTAGGCAAGGGTGCCAATAAGCTGGGTGTCGTGATGCTGGAGGTTGAGCCAGGCCAGGTCCTGAGCTCCTTCACAGGCTCCAAGGCCTGCCTAGATGACGAGGAAGAGATGGCTGCGCCCACCACCACCATGCAGCACATGCTGGATGGCCTCAGCCCAGGGCGCTAACCCTACGGCTTCCCTGCCACCACCACCACCATCAGAAGGACCTGCCCTGGCCATACTGGTAGATGCCGCCCACGTTGTCTGTGCCGCTGTGCTGCTGAACTGCAGTCAGCAACTTTGCCGGCAGGCAGCTGCAGCAGGGAAGCTGTAGGGGTAGCTCCCCATGCTGGGCATCAGGTATATGGGGCTGTGCTGCACCACCGCTGGGTAGGAGAAAAGTGAGCAGGGCATGGACTGCCTGGCACCCAGCAGCCCAGGGAACAGCAGGTAATAGCACTCAGGGCTGAGGCCATCTAGCAACTGCTGCATGACGGCAGCGAGCTCAGCCAGCTCCTCCTTGCTGCCTGGGGAGTCCTTGCACCCATCTGCCTTGGACCCAGGAAGGAGACCAGTGTCTGGTCCGACTTAAAATTGAGCACTGTTCCACCCAGCTTCTTGGTACCCATGCCCAGCTCCAAGTACTGCTGGGTCAAGCCCATGCCATGTGCACCACTGTGGGGGCAGGGGTGGGGGTCAGACCGAGGGCCTCACTCTAGCAGGTAGGAGGGGCCGCCAGGCAACAGCTGCTTCCCCAGCTGAGTGCCTGACTCAGCTCAGCTCTACCTTGGGCTGGCATGGACACACACTCCAGCCTCTTCCCTGCCCCGCCTAGCCTGTGTCCCTCTGCTCAGTGGGGCTCACATCCAGGATGGAGCTGCCACCACTGGGATCCCTCTGTGCCCTGCTCTGTGCATGTCCCAACCTGGGCTTGGGGCTGGTTTCACTCCCCTCCCTTCCCTTGATCTGACCTTGCTCCTGGGCTGCCCCAAGCAAACCCCCCACCCCAGAGGCTGGGAAGGTGCAGAGGGATCGCTCTCTGCCTGGGAGGGGTGCTCTGGGAGTCTCAGGTCATGCTGAGCTGTAACCAGGAGGGAAAGGCCAGGCAGACCCCAGCTGGAGTCCCCTCTTTGCCTGAGATGCTGGCCACTCCCCCTGCCGCCCAGGTAGAAAGCCTGGCAAGCACTGCTTCCCCTTCCCCCTCCAGGCCCAACGCAGCTGGGGTCCCTGCAGTCCAGGGTGAGTGTTTAAACCCCTCCCCAATCATACTCAGCCTATCATACCCCAACCTGGCCGTGCCCCCTCCTCAGCTCATCTTCCCTTCACTCTTTGGGCCACTGCTAAAGGGAAGGAAGGGCTCACTCTAGAATCCCCCAGCTTCTAGCCTGAGCCACTGCAGGCATGTGGATGCATTTCCAAAATCAAAAGCGAATGCTTCTTCACTTGCTTGTTGGTTCAATCTATGCAGGTTAGACTAACCTGAAAAGATTGAATCAATTCAAGCTCAGGCTTTTTGAATGCCTGTACTTAGCCCAGAGCACCAAAAAAGGTCCTGGCTCCTGTTCACCCCTTCACTTGCCAGCCCTCTGGTGGCAAGTCACAATTGTGCGGGTCTGAGTTTAACCGATGACTGCTCTGGAATAGCTCTAACTTTATGACAGCATAACTTTCCAAATCACAGAAGTATTTAGGACAGCATGTCCATCCAAAAACAAAATGTGTGTGTGTCTGTGTGTGTGTGTGTGTCTGTGTGCGTGCGTGCACATGCTCACACGTGCATACACGGGCAAAGAATTTATCAGCGCTCTTCAAAGGAATACATGTTGTACCTCATAGCCCTAGAATGGCAAAATCTAGTCTATTATCTTCAAAAAGATTAATGTATCATTGACTGAAATAATAAATAATGAGTTTGTATATTAAAGTAACGGGCTTAATACTCAAAGTCAAAACTGAGTTCTGAAATGAGACATGGCAAATTTTATCCCACTCTCTTCACCCCAGAAAGCATTAATCTTCCTCTGGAAACTAAACATGTGCAAATTATTCATAAATCTCAATTTGGGTTTAATTACACCATTGATTTTAAAGTAAAAGCACACCCTACTATATTACCACTAATGAAGCCATTGTACCTCTGTGTCGGCTTCCAGCAACAACCACCAACCATAATGTGCTAAACAGCATACAGAATGTGCTAATGCTATATCTCAAGCATACTAATATACTATCTGACAGCCTGCATGTCATCATGTCATGTAAAATACTTTCAAGCAGTGCTCGAGTGCCCTCTGCTGGCTCTCTAATATTATATATTAGATTTGAGATTAAGTAGTGAACATCTTTTCTATCCTATTAATGTATAATGCATGGTTCAAATAATTGCCTGCTATTACCAATCATTTTTCTAGGCCTCAGGCCAACTAACACTGACTTTACTTATGTGAATAATATCAGTTGATGAGACCCTCAATCGGTTTAAGTCAACATGGCTGAATTCCCTTCAGTTGAGTTCTGCCAATTCACACCATCAAAGGCTCTGGCTAATTAACTTAAAAAAGCCTGCTCGTGCTCAAGCTAAGCATATGCATATCTGCATGACCAGGCCCTCCTAATCAGTGACTGTTAACATTCATTTTGATAATTCAACAGACAATTTAAAACAAAGGATTTTACTCCTGAAAACACACAAAAAAGAATACAAACAAAATAAGTTTAATTAGACTGGCGACTAAAAGAAACAAACCATCAGAAAGTTCAAAGTGAAGGCTGAAAATACATCTCAAATCCCGCAAGCCCCTGTGCACGTGTTTAATCCTAAACACAAGGAACCCTTGCACAAGAAGTTAAGCATCTACACGTAAATCTGTAGGACTGAGGCAGGCCTTTGTCTGTGATTCTCCAATGAACCTAAATGTGTAAGTTCTTACTAGCATGCCTGAAGAAATGTGTTTGTGCCTGAAAGCTTGCAAAGAACAATTTTTCCAACTATTTAGTAAGGTTGTGCAAAATTTTCCCAGCCGTTTTGATTCAACACTGTTTTGACTCATTTCGAGGTCGAAACAGCAAAATTAAAATGAAATAAAGGGTGTCAGAACAGCCTCAAAACAAAATGAGGCTAGCTGAAACATTTTGAAAGTCAAAACGTTTCAACCACAGGGCTGGGGATAGGAAGTCAGTCCAGCTGGCCCCATCCCTGGCTGATCTAGCGAAACACAAAAACAGAGTCGAAACAGGTGTACTGTTTCGATGGAGCAAAATGGAACAGCTGTTTCAAATCAAAATTAAATTCAATACGAAATGCTGTTCTGTCCAAACCTCAAAACTCAAGGCAAAAGGGAACAGTGCCGTTTCGCACAGCCCTATTTAGTTGGTCTAATAAAAGATATCGCATCTACCCAAAGAACCTTGCCTGCCTATGTCCTTAGAGCAACACAGCTACAACAAACAACCCTAACTTCTTACTGAATGTGAATATCATCTGGGTTCCTAACACCCTTAGACTGCTCTGATGGTTTTAGCTCTCATCTTAAACCTGTGTTGTGGGCCTCAATGTAGGGGGCATAGTGTAATCTTAGCTCAGCACACGACTGCTGCACAGTCTTCTCAACAGCACCCTTCGGTGTAGAGTAAAATTATATTTTAGCCATAATTTTCATTTTTTAAAAACATTACTTATGTCACAGAAGTGAACTTATCCTTCAAAATGAAATAATAGCAGATATGGAAAAATCAGGGGACAGCAATTTTGTAAAGATTCCAATATAGGTCTTCAAACTCAAGCACCCAGAAGTCAAGAATGAAAGTTGCCTGCGTCATCTAGTGGTTGTCCATTTTGATAGTCTGATAATCTAATAGTTACCTGCTGGTTTCTCCACCCTGGAGGCACCTACATTTGTGCTTTACTACAGTTGACTAATTAGCACCACAGTGAAGCATCACCCTCTACTGGTGCGGTGCTATTAGGCCACAGTAAACTAATTAACTCCACCGTAGGATAGTACTGCCCGAGTCAAGTACTATCGTACAGTGGAGTTAGTGTGCCATAACGCATGTGTAGATGGTAACTGGGGCTAGGGCATAAGGGTGCTACAGTGCAGGGGCTGACTGCTGGCTAGCCCAGCACTGTGGCACCCTCATGCCCCAGCCAGCCCCTCTGCAGCCCACTGAGCTGAGTCAGAGTAGATATAGGCTGGCAGGCTGATCCCCCAGGTCCTCTGGCAGCCAGGGCTGTGCTGCCCTGGCTCAATGTGCTGCAGTCCTGGGCACACGTGTAAACGCTGCACCCAACAACAATAAACAACAATAAACTCCAGCGCAAACTGCACAGGAGTTTATTCAACATGTGTATTCAACAAGCCGCCCACTGTCTCAGCTAGTTCAGATCAAAGAGATCAAAAGTAAATTCATCCATGCAGTTTTCCTGAAGCTTTATTTACTGCACAACCACCAATGGATACAAGTACAGATATTTTTTTAACCTCACAGGCTCTTCCACTATACTCCTTAGCATAGTGTTTGAGTACTCTACAAAACTTAATGAATTAGTCTTCACAACATCCCTACAGAACAGAGAATATCTACAATTCACTGAGGCATGTGGCTTGGAGAAAGAGCATGAAAGGGGTAGAGAAGGGCACTTAAAAATCACTTAAAGTTGTTATTATTACATTATTAATAATAATAACTTTAAGTGATTTTAAGTGCTTCTCTACCCCTTTCATGCTCCTCCTCTAAGCCACATGCCTATCAGTGAATTGTAGATATTATTATTAATAATGATGGTTATGATGATGATAATTGTAACTGAAGCAACAAACAACATCAATAATAACAATAATATCTCACACTGCCCAAGAAGACTCAGAGCAGTTTACAATAAAGGACAATAGGTAAAAAAAAACAACAGTAGATTCCCCAAATAACACCCAAAAGCTTGAAAACCTAATATATCTGATCAAACCAAGTTTGAAGAGAAAAAATATCTGAGTAAATAAAACACCATTCTTATAGCACAATGAAATGCTAAATTTTATGGCCACCTTGGGACGGGTGAAAACCCAAAGTGACAGACAATAGGATTAAACACACTAAAAGCACTCCAAGTAGAAACTAACTGCAAGAAACCACAGGTTGGGGAGCATAAGTATTTTCATTAGATTCTAGGGACGGACTACAAAATCTATGTGCATCACCCCTTCAGTGGAGGTCAGATTTATCATCTCCTTTTGTAAAGTGCTTTGAGTTCCTTGGGTAAAAAGTACAATTATAAATGTAAGATATTGTTGTTTCAGTAACAGACTGCACTGTCCTATTGAAGGGAGCTTAACTATATACACTTATCATGACATCAATCAGTATAAGAACAACTAACGCTGATTAAGAAAAAGGCAGAAGACTCTTTCTTCACCAAACGCCGCAGTGATTAATGCTCACCATAAACTGAACCACGTCTTCAGGTCTGTGTTTTGCCGACTTGAATGCAGCTAGTCGGGTGACAGCTACAATGTGATATTCCACATGGCCGGACATCATCTTCCCACGAATTTCCTGGTACTCCGGCACTGACAGATCTATCCCTGTGTGAGCATTCTGGACTTGCCTAAACAGTGAAACAGGAAACACAGCTCAAACATGGACAGCATTTACTGATTGACTCGTAGACAACACAATAAAAAGCCCAGTGAAGTCAATAAAAGAGGCTCCCACTTCAGTGGGCTTTGGACTAAATCTTAGCCCATACCTGTTCCTAGTCAATGGAAATAGGACTTAGCAAAATAGAGTTAACTGTGGTATGAAAGGAAAAAAAATGTTGCTTCATGCAAAGGTGTTCATAGCAGTAACAACTATATTAAACTTAAACAGGAAATTTGCAGACCTAATGCAATTGTCAGGATGGAAGAGTGTGCTGCATTCATTCTAAACCAGGAACTTTAAGTCTGATGCCTCCAAAACAAAACCTTTCCAATATATTGTGACAGTCCCAGACTTGAGTCTAAAGGCAAAATGTTCACAGGTATTTAGGCACCCAGAGATACAGACTTGCCTCTAGTGAGAATTTCTAAAGCACGAAAGCAATTGACTCCCACCGACATCAGCAGGAACATCCCAGGATTGTCAAAAGCACCTACCTCATTTGAATGGATAGCTTTACACTTTGCCTCATACTATTTATGATTGTTGGTAAAAGAAAAAAATAAGTGAATCATCCTCCCCATTTCTTCTGGGCAATGGCTCCTAGCATACATCGTGTTTTCTAAAATGCATGCATCTGTTGCAAAGGAGCATAAACTCCAGCCGGCCAAAGCAAAGCAGCAAAGCAGAGCATCCAAATCTCCTTACTCTGGTCTACAGGTTCACTCAGAATAAGTGCACAGAAGCAAATTATTCATAATTTGCTTGCCAGTCGCATCTGAGATGGCAAGAGGATTGCAATCAGCCTCCGTTACTGAAACATCAGTGGCTGCTCCTAATTCACAGCTTTCCTAATCCTTGGGTTCAAAGCAGACAAAATTATTAATGCTGCCACTATTGCTGCGCAGGTTGATCTTTTTCCACACTGAATTATAGGAAGAAAACTGTACCTCAATTCTCTCCCAGTGTACACATGTAATGCCTACAGAGTACAAGGAAAATTCACACACAAATTCATTGAGAGAAGTCCAGCAAGCAGTAATATCCAGGAATTCAGACAAGAAGACCACAAGAGTGCCTTCCAGCCTTACTGGATAAAATGCTGCATCCAGCTAAAATTCACAGGCAGCCTTACACAACCCTGCTTACATTAGCCAAGTTCCCAGTCATGATTGACAACGCAGTCCCGGTCCTGATGACATCAACAGAAGTTTTGTTGGGGGACCCATCTTAACTTGGATCCCTGGTATCCTAAGCCAGATCTACTTTCAAGCTAGTATTTTCGGAGTTTGGGTCTGCAGACCTCTGAACTGTGCACGGCTTAGGTGTGGTTTTCAGACTTAAAACCCTGGAATTTTCTGTTTATGATATAGCCACTTGTTTGGAAACAGATCGTGTATCTTCCTTTTTACTTCTTGCCAGCTTTGATACAGGTAAGGAACTGAGAAAGACTAAGGTCAGATTCATAAAAGGACTTATGTATCTAAAGTACAGTGTAGACTGACCTTAGGCAGCTAAGTCCAAGACTGCAAGTAACAACCTCATCTAATCATTTATAAGCATGTAAAAAGTCTATGTTTTCACCAGTAGTTACTTAGGTACCTAAGTTCACACCCAGAGGCATGGCCATTTTGGCTGAGCTGAGCACCTTAGCACCTATCTCCTGCCTAATGCGATTTGGGATTCACAAATTAGACATCTCCCTGCCTAAGTCCCTCCACGGCCACATTCAGGTCTGTTTTTGTCAGACCTAACATACACCAGCACCACTGAGGTCAGCACCAAGCACAGCCCTCAGCCACTTTCATTAAAAAACATTATTTTGTATATTATTATAACAGGGTAATCTTATGTCATGTAATGCCCTAGTGGCTAGAAACCTTGCTTAGGAAGAGGGAAACCTGAGACTGCTTATATGTCTTGCATTAGAGTGCCATGGGATAAAATGCATAGAAGTTTAGTAACAGGGATCAGAAACCCAGGACTCTTCTCTTTCAGGGGATTACCCACACTGCTGAGCTATAATGTCATGCTCCTTAATGTGTCCTCTCCTTCTAGCCATATGACTCTGGCTGTCCTTGATACCCAGCAGGAAAGCAGTAGATAAAAGAGATTAAAATGAAGTAGTTTATCAACACAGACCATGATCCTTATAATATCCAAGGTTCATTCCCCTACTCCTCATATCCACCACAGCCAGAATGCCACCACCGCCTACCATAGCGCCTGGGCTGCTCGCAACAGGCCAGGGGGAGGCTGCAAATAGCTGCACCGAGGTCTGCGGAAGCCCAGCCTGGCTCATTGCTGATGGCGGGCGCACGGGTGCCTAGGGCAGGCGGCAGGGTTGGGGCCATGGCTGTGCTACCACAACAAGGATCACACCCCTTGTGGCTCCCTTGCTGTCTGTTCCTGGCACATCAACTTCCTGTAGGTTGGGGGGTTTTTGGCACATCAGCTCAAGATGCTTAAACCAAGGGTACGGATTCTTACCCCATTACCTGAACTAGCTTTTATAACCAGTATGTCACGAAACATGTTAAACCCACCTTGCCGACCCCAGCAGTACCCATCTTTGTTTCTTCCCCTTCCCTACCCTTTGTATTCTACTCACTGCCTCCTAGGAACTCTGCTTCCTCCAGACCCTTCAGCTAACGCATCTCTGATAAGTCGATATGGTGCAAATCTATCCTGTCTTCTGTCTGACTTCAGATGAACATGACTAACTACTTCTCTCTGCTCTTGATACACAGAACCACAGCTTCACCACAAAGTGCTCTCATGGGAGAAGGCCGACAAACTCTCAGGTAGAGGAGGTCATTAACCCTTGACCTTCCACTCCCAGAACAAGTGCTCTAACCACTAGCACATTACACAGCAAACAGCACCACGGCAGCCTTCTCTCCCAGCTGTGTTAAAAAAAAAAAGTAGGAACCATCTGGCTTAAGCTAGGGCCCCGTGTGTAGGAGGGGGTTTCAAGCTATGGATCCTAGTCTCACAAAGGCACCTTAGGACTTTGGGCTAAGGCACCTAAAACCAGAACAAGGCCAAGATTTCAGACACATCCCTCACTTCAGCTTCAATTTTCCATTTGTGTGGCTTGGGCATACAACAGGCTAGCTGTGGTGCAGCGTTTCTCAACCAGGGTGCTGCAAAAGCCTTTTACAGGTGCGACAATATTTGCATTGTTAGATGCACAAATAGATACATGTGATTCATGGGATAAATGTAGCAATTTTTAATTGGAATCCACAAAGTCAAAAAAACGTTCTGACTTGTTGTGGCCTTTCTGTGTTCTTTGCAAAGAAAGAATCTATTATTTTCCCTACAGTCAAGGAACAAATCAAAGCTAAAAGCTGGGATTTTCCCTTGGTGCCCTTGAGTCTAATAAGGTTGAGAACCACCGCTACAGTGAATCCCAGTCCTAGGCACCTGACTTTTCCCATTTGTGCATAGGGACCTTATGCGCCTAACTCAGGTTTGTAAACTCCATTCTGGGAGCTGAGCAACTAAAAGACAAGCCTGGTGATGCTCAGTCCCTCTGTGTACCTTATGGACCCTCAGTCCCTATGTGTCTTATCTAAGATCACACAATGAATCTATGGAAGAGCAGGACACTGAGCCTGTGTTTCCTCTATCCTTGAGAAACTTCCTGACAACTAAACCAACCATTCTTTAATAACACAAACATCAAACCACCCTGAAGATACAACTTCATTGTTGCTTTGTAGCATCATATTAATGTTTGTGAGAGAGGTCTGAAAAACTAAGCAGTACAGTACGTGGGGTATGAGGTTCAAAACACCCTGATTTTTATGGAAAGCCTGTATTTATGAAATATGCAATCATTCCTAGAGAATGTAAGAGAGATATTGTAGCCCAGTTTCCAACTGGATAGGGGATCCAAAGGATAAAACAATGTGCTCCATAAATATGTGTAAAGTGCTAGGTACAAAAAAAATGTGGGGGCCTCCACTCATATAAAACTGGTGCAGCTTCTTAGGCCAATTTTATAAGATGAGGATCTGGCCCTACATTGTAAACTGATTTGAAAGCACTTTTCATTTATACCAAGGGGAGCTGAGAACTGCAATGCAGTATAAGCATCCAAAAACAGTGCTAGAAACAGCATGATCTTTTTTCACAGCAATTTAAAAAATAGAAAGAGAAGTATAAATATCAGAGCGGAAAGAATCTCACCAAGTAAACATCACATAGACAAAGGCCCAGATGGTAACAATAATAATAATTCAGATAGAAAATGTGAAGTGGAGGACACGTAGTCCTAGAAGCTAATGAAACAGGGATCAATCAAATGACAAGAAAGCCAGGTTAATGATACTATGAACAGCCTTATATCAGGATTGTCTTGATGTTGCATCTTTGAAGTCTTATGAAAAACAATTTAAGAAAGTTTAGAATAAATTCTATTTCACCACTTCTCCCATCCATTTTGGATTTTGTCCATCTCCTATTATTTTAGTCAATGCCTGTTTAATATGAAGTGCAAAATCAAACTAGTCTGATAACTTGGGTGTTCTCTTGGAAGTGCTTAAATTCCTTTTTCACTTTCTAAACTAAAGAGGAGTTAATTTTACAACAGCAGCCCTCGATGTGATCTCAGCTCATTGACTTTACTAGGGCTGCCATGATGTAAAAATCAGAATTTGGCCCACACTTTACATTATTTGCATGAGTCTACTTCATCCATATGTAAACAATGTATGTTTCTTCTTCAACAGCAGCCAATAATGGCCACTAATGGAAGACCTGCCAGCAACATCTTGTGCGATTCTTTTAAAATATAAATTTACATTGGAGAAAACACTCTCCAGATGTTTACTCACTGCGGAGTTATGAGGGCTGCTGTAAGAGTTAGTCAACAACTCAGTAAACAGGTATTGATGACTCCGGTAATAGATCTTTAGACATACAATATGAACGAATTCATAAAGTAATCTGTTCCTCCCTCAACAATAATAAAAGGGAAAAGTAGTGATAAACCATCCATCATTATTTTGGCCTCTTCCTTCCAAAGAACAGTTCTTTCTTTCTAGATGAAATCTAGCAGCCAGTCAATGGAATTTAAATTAAGACATCAACTGAATTCAAATACACTGGCAGGCAAACACCAGTGTGACTTCAAGAGCTACTTATCAAAGAGTTCTAAAGAGGATATCCACTTAAAAATGACACATATGCCTGAACTTGTATTTTCACTTTGTCAGAAGTCTAACAGCTAAAATTATTATAACTAAGAAAGATTAGAGGGGCAGAGATATTTTATTTTCAGTCTGTTTGCTCTGCGCATTTGACAGCGCTTTGCTTTGGTCAGTCTTCCCATCGCTGTTTCCCAGGTGGTATCAGTTTCCTCTATTCTCTTTCTCCTTGCACTGTAATTCTAAAACACACAAGGACTGGCAGGGAAACTCAGGGAAATGAAATCCATTACCTGAAACTGATTCTAATTACTGTAATAGTCTAGGTTTGAAAATGATTATTCCTAATGGGGCCCAATTCATTTTGTACAATTATTATTTGAATGCTGGTAGCATCTAGGGGCCCCAGCTCACAAAAGTGCTCCACTATGCTTGAGTACAGAGAGTAAGAATATGCCTGCACTGCAGAGCGAGATACCAGAGCAGTCCAGCTGTGGTAGCACAGAGTCCACGTGGGTTATTTACCTTGTTTTTCAGGTGGATCAATCAGGACCTGTATACCTATACTGCTGTAATAAAGGAGTGGACACGCAACATACAGCTCTGCACTGCTGTAACTCATCAGTATCTAAATCCAGTGGAGTATGTCTCTGGCAAGAACCTAGTTACACTAAGTGAGTTCTGTCTGACGTTCATCCTGGGCTAGTGATTTGCTCAATGCAAATGGGTTATCACCTGTTCCCCCATCATCTGGTGGCAAAATGCTGTAGGAGTTACCTGCTTTATGCAACAGAACCTGGGGTAACTTCACACTGTCCGCTCTGGCTCAGGTCAGAATTCACAGTATTTTACATATTCACAGTATTTTAAATTCATTTTAAATTGTGTGTATCTAGATATATATTTTGGCCATACCAGTAGAATATAAACCAAAATAAAATGAGATACTTGCTAATGCACATCTGATAAGGTGCATGCAATTTTTTCCCTGTATTTTGAGAATTATTAGGATTTGAATAGAGCCTTGGGATGCTACTTTCTGAAGTCTGCTGCATGAAGTGCTATCTGAATATGGAACAAAAGGGCAATAGTCACTTTTTGTTTCTCATGTGCTAGAAAATGTATTTATTACCTAAGGCCTCGGTCCCGCAAGCATTTAGGCATGAGGTTACACTTACTACCACAAGCAAATCTCATTACCAGTGGAACAGCCTGTGATAGCACAGATAACATGTACATGTTTGCAGGACTGGTACCTAGTCTAAAGCCTAGAAAACATCAGCATGAAGGAAGCTACATGTACACTTGAAGGATCCAGGTCAGAGCTCCAAAATAAATCTGTCCTAGTCTTACTGAGCCATGTGCTTAAATTGTTTCTGCCCAGACAACAAACAGAACTACTGATGTGCTAAAAGACAGGTGTGTGATTAAGAATCCTGCAGAGTCAGGGCCTTATTTTTGGATGACACTTCAGTTACATCAAACCAATTTTCATGAGGTCTTAACTTTTTTTCTGCTGGAAAAACATCCTGCGCTTTCACTCAACCTAAAAAGTCAAATAATGTTAGCTATTTTTAGGGCAACAAGAAAATAAATCCTCGCTTACTATTTTAAACTACATCTGCATTAGTTTATGCTGTTACTTTTGCTTACCAGTAATCAGAAAGGCTCATGCAGCCAGCAGCGCCACAGAAAAAAAGTGCCTTTCAGCAAACCTGCCACAAAACTCATTCTTTAGGTGAAAGAAACTTTTACTAAATCTAGAAAAATACACTGGCTGTAGTTTGAGATGACTTGCTGGTTGCAGCCGTGTTGGTTGAAGGAGATAGCTCTTTAAGTAAATGTGATGTCTTATTAGGGATGTATTTGGTAGCCATGTTGGTCTGAGACAAAAATAAATGCAAAAAAACCAAGAGATCTAGATTTTTGCATATCTTTTATTAGGTAGGCAAGGTTCTTTGAGATGTGGTATCTTTTATCAAACCAGCTGAGTAGTTGGGGAAAAAAAGGGTCTTAGCAAGCTTTCAGGTGCAATCACCCTTAGTCAGGCCTAGGGAGTCTCTGCTGGTCTGAGACTCATGAGGAAATTGGTTGCTTATTCCTAGTCCCTTACTCCTTAAACCTGGTTTCTGTTTAAGAGCTGTTTGGGACAGACCCCCAGTGGCATTGAGAGGAGGTTTGGGGCTGGCCCAAGATATATTTTGCCCCATAATCCCATTTTAATCTGACCTTCATTTAGGTCTCTGTCTCTATAGATAGATACAAATCTAGATACAGATCTATATCTAGATAAATACATACACACACGTACTAATATATACCTCTATGCACACACACAAATGTACTTGATACGGGATATTATTTTACATATTAATTAATACATACACAGAGCCAATGAAAGTCTCTGTTTTCAGGATGTGTAATTCATTAATAATAACAAGTTTGTACTGAGTATAGATTTGCCTTGAAAAAGGAACTGGGAATAAGCAACCACCTTCAGCCTCATCTGAGTCTCCAAGGAATAAAAGAAGCTAAAACCCTGACAGGATGTCAGTGCAAATGTAAACAGATGGGAATTACGAAAACAAAAGGTAAAGCATGGGCAGGAGACAAAAGTTGAAGGTGAGTCCAGGGCTGTCAGCCGTGTGGGTCTGGGATAAAAAGAAATGCAAAAAAATCTAGACCTGCTGGTTCCCAAACGATACCTGGTATAAGACCAACTGAGAACCCGCCCCCCCCCCCAAATACATATATCTTTTTTTCTGTGAGTCAAGAGTAAAGGCCAGTCAGGGAGACACTACATCTTTCAGGAGACCAACCACACATGAGGTAAACGACATCTTTGAGGTGAACGTGACGCAACGTTTCTCACACCGACTCAGTCTGTGGCTTGTGTCGTCACAGGCCCGGCCCGGCCCTGAGTCTCCTCGGCCCGGTCACTTGACCACGCAGCTCCGGTCTTGTCCGGCTGCCTCCCCACTGCCTCTACCGCCCCTCGAAGCCCCTTGTCGGTGTTCCCCGGGCACTCCCGCCCGCCCCGCGGCCTGCACAAGGCCCGAAAGGCCCCGGGGCCTGTCCCTCCGGGACAGCTCACCTGGTGGTGCCCAGCACGGCGGGCGCGGCGCTGTGCTGCATGGCGCGGGCTCCTAGCCCGTGGAGAGAAGGAAGGAAAAAGAGCTTTAAAAAAAGTGACTGTAAAAAAATAATAACAATAAAAAGCCGGAAACGTAGTCGGCAGGATTCGAACCTGCGCGGGGAGACCCCAATGGATTTCTAGTCCATCGCCTTAACCACTCGGCCACGACTACATCTAGCGGCAGCGGCGCCTCCGCGCATTCTACCCGCTGCTGCCTGCTCTGTGTCTGCTCCTGGGAGGGGGCGGGGCTGAGACAAGCCCTGCCCTGTGGGTGGGTACACACAGCTACACACAGAAATCGGAGTTACAGATAGGAGATATCTCATTATAAACATATGTTATATGTTATCACTATATAGCATATAAACATAAGAGATATATGTTGCTATATAGCATATAAACATAGAGATGACAGAAAACACTGCCGGTGCCCCTAAGCAGTTTCAAGGATTTCGTTGGGTTGTTTTAAAACAGAACCGAATGAGTCCCTGCCCTGAATAGAGCAAGCCACTGAATGCATATAACAAGCCATAAATATCCATATACACAAAAGTGGGAGTTATAAAGACATGCATACTTATATAGGGGATATTTATAAATCGATGTACAGTATATATAGGTATATCTATCTACTTACACATAGATGCAGTACACACAGCTCTCACCTGGCTCAATATAGCAACCCACTAAGTTTTGCACAACAGCACTCTTTCACTATTATATAGATATATATATAAGACAGTTCTTTATATATAGGCATATATATCAACACACACACACAAATGCGGGTTACAAATAGCAGAAAAAATATACATAAAACAATCTCTCTATATATCGATATATCTCACTACCCTCAACATAGCAATCCACTAAATGAAATGTCTCTTATTCCTGCTGCAGCAGTTTTGTACTACACCACTTTTACACTACTGTAAATGTACGTATATAGACACATCTTTATATGTAAGTGTACCTATCTATCTATCCATCTATAGAGACAGATATCTCTCTCTGTCTCTATAGATAGATAGATAGGTACACACATACCTATATACATATACACATACACACACAAATGGGAGTTACAAATAGGAGATATATCTCTCACAGCCCTCAGTATAACAATCCACTAAATGAAATGCTTCCTGTTTGTGCTGCAGCAGTTTTGCACTGAAGCACTGGCCAATCATCCCCCTTTCCAGGGGCGCGGTGAGTTTCACACCAAGATGCACCCTCCCTGAAGCTGTACTTGTAATTCTGATCTAGTCCGCCTTGATTCTGTGGAACTGAGGGGGGGAAAAGCAAACAAAAACCCCAAATATTTTATTAAAACGTAAGACCTGATTTTCCTGATCCTGACCTTTGCCCTAGTCCTAGACTATTTACCAAGTGTTACACATTACATTGACATTACATTGACACCTGATCCATCACTTGAACAACACTTTGTCATTAGGAAACCCCAAAAGTAACTGCATCTGGCAACAAAATACCACACTGGACAATTACCACCATACAACTGCTCTGGCCAGACCTTGTTCGTCCTGGCCTCTCCGCAGTTCTGAAATGGCCCCAGCAACCCAGGCTAGTACTTCCTGGTGGAGAACTCCCAGCCCTTTGAGCACCAAGCACTTCCTAATTCATTTGGAAAGGAGAAAGCTCTGTGCTAGAGATACTTAACTACCCCCAAATAAGTCTGTGCTACTGGAATCTCTCTCTCAGCTGCATTTGTATCCAGTCTGGTTATTCTGATAACAACAAGTACCTGGCATCTCACCTTCTGAGATAGCAAAAACAGAGGTGACTGGAGTCTCAATAACAAGCATCTGCTGAGATATGTCCCTTTCTGCAGAACCCCTATCATTCAGTCCAATTAGATCACCAATAATAATATGTGAGAGGCAAGGATTTTTGTAGGTAGTATCTTTTATTGGACCAGCTGCATGGGCAGGATGGACCCCAACACTTTTCCAAATGCAATGTATTCTTTTTAAATCTATCCCAACCATGCAGTTGCTCCCATAAAAGATATCCACAAAAATCTTTGCCTCTTCCATAATTCCTGAATCATCATGACTTCAGCATCACTCCAGCACTACCAAAACCATAATAATACATTTTTGCATACATGAATTTGACGCTCCTCAAACTGAGGTTCTTAATTTAGCTTCATAGCAGGCTTCTGCTCCCTACCTGCTAAGGTGCCTCATCTTTCACCTGGCAAGGGGCTGTGCGTGTCTGTGTATGCACGTGCATATGTGTACATGCAAGTGCATATGTGTGTGAGAGAGAGACAGTCCCTGTGGGTTTCTTTCTCTAAACTCCTAGGTCCAAATCGTATGTTTAATCCACTCCCAGTTTAAAACATACAATGAATGTCTTAGTATCTCACACCACAAAAGTATAAAACTCATGAATCAGACAGCCCAAGTTTAAGAGATGGACTCCAAAATAAAAATAAGGAAACTGGCATCCAAATCATCGAGGTTTTTTGGGGGAGAGGGGAAGCTCTTGTTATTTTCAAATGTCCCTGCACATTCCCAATAAATGTATGATAATTACAGTGTTGCCAGTTCTTTTGATATTTGTCATTTAATCAAGCCCTACACCTTGAAGCTATCTGACTACATTTGGATTTCAGTTCTCATTAGAAACAGGACAAAGATTATTTACCTTCCCATACTGGGGGCGGGGGGTTCAAGATGCGTAGTCAGCGTGAGTTCCTCCAGGGGACATGCATGCTTCGCCATGTCTGTCATGCCTCCCCATTCTTCTGGGCATAAATGCGGGCATAAATGGCAGGCCAGATACAACCCACCCTCATCTTTCCTGCAGTGTGCAGTCTGCAATTCAGGGAGCTGCACAAATCAGGAAGGGGGGCCAGCTACAATGGCTTGAAAAACATTTGCTCTGTTTTTCAAGCACATGTCAGTCTGGGTGTCTGACAATCAGAGGCTTCCCTGGATGAGAAGGCAGAGCTGGTCAATCATGCATAAATTGTAATATTGCCTTTTTGAACCTGGCACCTGTCCTAGCTGCTATGTCAGACACTTAGGTTTCAAAGGTTACTTCACGTGGTGGCCTCACAAACCTCAGAGACTGCTGTGTTTCTGCTTGTGCAGACTGGAAATCAAACCTCTTCCCTTAGGCAGGCCACATCTTGTTCACTCCCAGCCTTGTTTATGCAGTTGAATTAGTCAGTCTAATTTAAAAAATAGAACTAACCCTCATAGCAGGACTAGAAACCAGGCCTTCCTGCTGCAGGGAGGGCAGTATCAAGTGGGATACAGTCAGGCTCTCCCTCGCTTGATCCTTCTGGTACTCTTGGCTGCTCAACAGCTCACCTTCTTCAATAGACAACTACTCCACTCTAGCTATTTTATAGCCTGGGGCTTATGATAAAAATGATTAGGGACCTGGGAGGCAAAACTTATGAGGAAAGACTAAAATTACTAGCGTTATTTAGTGTGAAGAAGAGAAGATGGGGGGCAGGGGTGCTGGGCACTGATAACAGTCTTCAAATACCTGAAGGGCAATTACAGACAGGCTGGAGATGAGCTTTTCTTTGTGGCCATAGGGTCTAGGAGCAATTGCCTCAAGCTGTAGAAGGGGAAATTTAGACTGGAGATTAGGAGGAACATTTTTGACTATGAGGGTGCTCAAGCATTGCAACAGACTATCTCAAGAAGCTGTGGAATCATCATCCTTGGAAATCATCAAGATCGTGTTGTACAGATGCTTAGCTGGGCTGGATGCCCCCGCCTTGCTCAGGGGCTGGACTAGATGACCTTGTGAGATGCCTTCCAGCCCTAATTGCCTATGATCCTATGACACTCTCTTAGAAATGGGAAATGTTGGATAAGCCCCTTCCTTAACCCAGGTCTCTCGCTACAGTAGGTAGATTTTATACAAACAGGCAGATGACAACAGGCTGCTGTGTGTCCCCTTTGCAAGTTCTCTGAAGACAACCTTCACCAGTGCTGTGCCTTGTGCCCTTACCTTTGCACCTTGAGGCTGAAATCCAAAATCCTCCCCTTCCTGGAAGAGACCCAAGGGGACCTTGCCCTGACTAGCACATCTACTTACCCAGCAAGTCTATTTGACTTCAGAAGCTGTGTTATTTCCTGAGAGTCTAACCAAGTGACCAAACAGCTTTCTTAAATCGAAGCATTTTTTTTAGCAGGAAGAGCAAAGCATTTTGAGAAGAAAGGATTTTTTAAAAAGAGTCTATTTATCACTGTCTCACCTAAGGTTTGACTATTCCCTGATAAATTAGGCAGGCCTACCTTCTTCAGATGCCCCAGGAAGTGTCCATTTCTTCATTTATTTTCCCTAAACATAATTCCTGAACATTACCTTTATGAGACAGGCTTCTTTTAAACTGCCAGATTTCTTTTTGGTCTCCTGTATTCTCCGCTCCCTGTTCCTTGGCCTTTTCCTGTTTCTTAAGAGATTATTTTGAGCTATTCGTTTGCCACTCTATTTGGTTTTTTCCTTGAAGACCTCCATTAAGCTAAATAAACACAGGCATACAGTGGATAAACATCCATACCATGTTTGTAAAGTATTACAGAGTAAATTCATATTTGCTAGCTCATTCAAGAATCTGCACAAAATATCTGCTCATCTAAGTGTCTTTTTCCAAACAGATGAGGATTTCTGTGTGGATTCCTGATGTCATGAAGGATGATCGTGATGGGGTGAGGAGAAGACAGCAATGGAGCCTTGGGTGACCTTTCAAATTCTCTGCTTCTAAAGGAGAAATTACAGGAATTTCTCCTCCTTCTAGAGATGGCTGAAGGATTGGTGCAAGGGAAGGGTTCAGATGATTTACAGTCAGGAGGCATTCATAAAAGAAGCCTTCTCAGCAGAACCTGGAGTACTAGCCTGCTGGGAGCAAGGTTGGCAAGACTCATAAACTAAATAAATGGATGGGAGAGAGACTGAGCTGTGAGAAACTGGTGCAGTCCCCAAAGGGTAGAAGTACAGCCTGGCCTGCAAGGAGAAAGAAAATGCTAGTGGCAATATTGATGGCATTAGCAGTCAGGCAGACATGACCATTTGTGAAAAGACTACCTAAGCTTGCTAGAAAATTGAACACTAGAAAAACCAAAGCTACAAGTGTAAGATGTGGAATCAGATATTATGGAGAAAACAGATGCGGTATTGGCAAATGTGCGCTTGTCCCAGAA